AATAACTAAAATGCTTTAATGTATGTGTACATGCGCTAAGGTGCATTAATGTTATATATGTTGACTGGCTTGGGACTAACTTTAGTCCCAAGACAGTCCACTCACCATGTTAATGCGCCTTAGTGTGCATGTGTAGATGCATGCTTAAATCGCCTTAAAGCACAGTTTAGGCGCACATAAAAGCATGTGTGGACATGCCCATAATGATGAGCACATTCAACCATGAATACAAGGATTTGCACTGTCTTGACTCTGGTTTTATGAGGGGAACCAAAGAAGAAAGGCTGACAGCCAATTTTTTCACTGGGATATCTCACATTGGTCACCCAAAAAACTGACACGCAAATTGACAACCTGGGCCTGTGTAACTTCCTCAAGGTTATAAAAGGCAGTGGCAGAGCCAAATTAGAACTAAGAAATTCCTTCCTCACAGCGAGAGGTTGAAGTCACTTTAAAATGCTGTTAAAAAACACAACTCATACATTCTTGCTCAGTATTCATTTCTATGGGACAGCCCAGACACAATGATTTTTATCTATGAGTAAACTCTTTTTGGGATGATTTTCCATTAGTGTATCATAAGCTGCAGTTATAGTAAATGAGAGTTTGTAAAGCTTAATACTTAGTAGGTGTATATATGATATTTATATGACTGTATCACTTGATATATTACTGTTGCTTTCGTCTGTAATACACAAAACACTGCCAATAGAAAAAAGTACAACTAAAACTACTATACACTTTCTTGGAACGATGCCTTGAGAGAGCCAACCACAGCCCCACTGATAAAAGCCAAGCCAGTTCACACTAATACAACTATCTTTCCTTCTCTGAATAGGTCTATTGTTTCTTAATTAACATCTTTGCAAGCGTCAGTACTGTTATAGTAGGGATATGTTTCTGCTCTCTTCCCAATATCTCTATATTTTACCATAACTCAAATAGTAGACTAATGTAGCTTTTTGTATGTTTAACAGACTATTTAGCGAAAAAGGCATAATACTAGGTAATAGCAACTTGCAATATTTTATGCACAGTTTTTGAATTCCAGGTATAACCAGTGTGTTTTCCATTTTGCTTCAGTACTCAGCAAAGGCCTTTGATGAATGTGAAACAGAATTCTTTGGTCTGTAATAAAACCATGAAAGATCTTTTTCCCCCAAAATCTATAGCACTGAAGAGTGTATTTATGTTCTTTGTTTGCATCCTTGAGGCTACATGTTGCTTTGCTGACATCATAGTGCCAAGTCAAAGGTCAATGCCTACTTCCTCTACTTTTGTAGGAGTGAGTCAATACTGTCAATCACATGATCAATGAAGTATCACTGGCACTTGGCTAACTCTGCAAATCACAACCTGTCCACTCTAATCCTCAGGCCAATTCAATAGCCATCCAACTATATGTATTTTAGAGCCTGAAATGACCAACTTTTATTGTTCCCATTATCACTGCTCCTTATTAAATCATAGAAAAAGTAATGCCTATAGAATGTAGATTGGTTCCACCTAGAGTTATTTCCTATGAATACATATTTTGTATTATACCATTTTCCTGAAAATGAAATAGTCATATAAAGAACTGTAGAAGAACATGTATACTGCCTAAAGAGATTTATATTGCTATGGTGCAGTGCCAGTTTGTACCAAATGAAGGCCTTGTCCTTTGGGTCTTAGTTAGAAGGAAGAAAAGAAATAAGCCCAAATGCTTGACAAAATTCATTGAAAAAAGTTCACCAAAACATGCCTTATTAAGGCATAATAATATGCACTTAAACCTGACTGATAATGTGACAAGGGAGATAATAGTTCATATGAATGTGCAATAAATACCCTATGCACGATGTTGCACGCCATAACATTAAAATGTGTCCTATATGTGCCCTTCGGCCAACATTTCACAGAAAATAAAGCTATAGTTTCTTACAAATGCTGTCATATAAAATGGTTTATGTCATTTGTTTGCAGGTCTTTACCTTCTACCAAGTCATCTAAAGTTTACAAAAGTGCTGAATTACAGAACTGTATGCTCTCAGTGCAAGGAAGATTTAAACTTATGTGTTCATCCATATACTCTATAGGAGTCTATTGAAAAACATTAAAAGACTTGCATTTAAGAAATTTTTGGAAAAAAAAACCTACTCTACTTCTGATAAGTTAACCTCTGAGTGACCAGTCACTGAAAGCTAACAGTGTTTCATCATCAGCTTACCTCTAATATTAAAGACAGATTTTGCAGCATGTAACAAATGAGTTGCATTGAAATTTATTATAGTCAATCCACTCAGTTGGGGGTTTTGCTTTTTTTGACACAGCACATACATGTGTTCAATTAAGGGAAGGTGTCTCTTTAATTACCCTACACTAACTAATCTCACCACTGAGTTTAATTGTTCAAAATGTCTTTTCTCGTTTAAGCAGCTCAGCAACACCTATAACGGAAAACCTACTACTGATAAACTGCCATGTTTGCCTCAGCTCAATAAGTGAAAACTTCATATCCACAAATATTAAGTTCCTGATACTATGCATTGGTTCATCTTCACCCGTTTTATCTATTGTTATTTGGCTGAATGTTTTAATCTTAGTTAAACACTACCTAAAATTAAATGACGCATTCCTAATATTATAAATATGAAAATGCTTAGGGACTGCAGTGGAACTAATTAAAATCAGTCAGTTTGCTGGTTAACATGTTATCAGCCCTTTTTATGTATCGCATTCAGTTGGCAGATTGCAAATTCATGGCTTTATAAAAATGTTGTCTTGATTCCATGTTATGACAGCAGAAATTGTCCAAAATTTCTAACAGTTTCCCCTAAAGGACCCTCGCTAGCTGGCACTTCCCAGGTGTGGAGCAATCTGAATCCGAGGTGAACATCACATCAAATTCCACTCATCTGTCAATGTAGTGGATTATTTCTTGAGAGACTGAAATTGGCTGCCTGGGATCAGAACACCATCAATCTTACTCATGTAGGGTGCGGAGTAGCTGCCTGAGAAAGGCTCGCAAGAGGAAAAGCTCTGCTGTTCCTAAGCAGGTGATGAGGCAGCTGTAAAACCTTCACTCTATCTGTATCACACCTCCGAGTGAAAGATTTGTCATTTTTCACATTTCCCCTATACTTGGTATGCATTCAGTGTCTTGCAGTTCCTGCTTCATAAAAGAGGCGATTTTTCAAGCTTAGGCAAATGTTGCAAAGCTCTGGATCTGCCCAGCTCTCATTTTTTATCATAATGCCACTTGTTTCAACTGATTTTGCAAAATGAGATTACATTTTCCTATCTCTTTAACTATTTGTTTGGTTATTTCACTGGTGGACCGCCTCCGATCGCCAATGGAGGTTGTATGATGGTGTTAATGGCCATTTGGTTTATCCCTCTGTAGATCCCCAAAGAACAATATTCCATCTGGGACATAGCATTTAGTAACTGCCAGGCTAAAGTTAGGGGCTAATACAAGTACATGATAATTGTTCATTAGATAAACCTTCCAAAACATTGTTTTAAATTTATTCCCCCACAGGCTATCATGATGCTTATTTTATGCAATTCAGTTTTGGGCAGGAAGGGAGAAGAATTGGAAAAAACCTTCCATCATGAGACTGACTATAGAGTTAGGATAAAATTTTCAAATGCATTAGGAGCCTAAGACTCATTGCCTTTGAATATTTTACCTTTACTCTAATCTCTTTTTAATCTACCTGCTTCATTAAATGCCAATATTCTTTACATTTCATCTTTACAGTCTTTCCAAAACTTTCACTCCTTTCCCTAGGAGCTAAGTATATGATACCTTCAACTTTTAACTCTTTAATAAAAGTGTTATAATACACCTTTCCCACAAACATTTCACAAGAGACTTTTTTGAGACCTGCCTCAAAAAAGAAAAGCAATTAAATCTGAAAAAAAGTAACTCCATCACTTGCTATTTGAGGAATAACAAAGCAATGAGAACACTTATTTGCAATCTTTGTCAATGGCATCAGTCACAAATCAGCTGAACTTTCCATTACAAACACAAAGGGACTCATCCTGACCTTAATTACACTCATTCATGCTCATGAAAACACAGGCCTGAAGTCTACTTCAGGTTAAACCTTTGAACCTCATTAATGGTCAACAGGAAACATCTGAAGCCAAATTCAGTTCTTATTTAATGCCAGCCCATTCTACCAACCTCAGGGAGGATGGACAGGCATAACAGAGCAGGATTTGTCTCAAAATATTTTCAGTCCAGATTGGCATAGCAATACATTTACACAAAACTAGGCTTTCTTCCCAGGGGACTGACAATGTAGTCTGTTATTATACAGAAAAAACAAAATAAGCAAGTAGGCCAAAGAAAATTTCAATTATTATCTGAAACAGGTTTCCCATGGGAAGCCTCCTGTGCTGAGAAGTTGTTAGAAAAGGATATTCAAAAGGAGGCATGTTCCCAAACACCAGACAGGCAAGGTACACATTAGGCTGAACGGAAAGACACTTTGAGATATATAGACAAACAGCTCATAATAGTTAAATGACAAAATGGGTTTTGCGATTATTCAACCACTTGTCAAGACAGACATGAGAGCATGAGCAGAGCGCCTGTAATCTGGCAGCATCCTGTAGCTGATCAGTCCTACCTGGTCTGTGCAGGTGATGCTGCTGGAAAGTGTGATGGAGGGACCCCTGACAGAGCAGCATTGCACAGGCACTTATCCACAAATACAGGACCCAGGACATTGCAGAGACCATTGCCATTCTCTAAATGAAATATTAGACAGGCATTATTATCTATAGCCTCACAGCACACAGTAGTCAGCTTTGATTACAACAACATTTACATTCATTTTGTGAGATGTCCTTGTTTCCTTCTTTCACCTCTTGCCTCCCCTCTGTGCCCAACCTTGCAGGCTCTGATCATCATAAAACAAAGGTTGCGTCCAAATCGGACGGTTGGGATAAGGAGATGTCAGCATGGGAGACTGGGTAACTTCAATAATTCAGTAAGACAAATTAAGTGATAATGATCCAAGTACGAGAAGAAAACCAATGTAAACAGAAGCCAGGGAACTATCCCCACACTATTCTCCCATTTAACTTACAGAAGGAAAAAATCACACTGGTAGCCAAAAACTGTGATCTTCAGATAGTATTGAAACTACTTTAAACACATTACGGAGAGTCAAACAACATTATCAGGTATCAGATGCATTTTAAAACACGCTCCATCCGCAAGACTGCCAGGCTGATACCTCCCCAGTAGGTAACAGATTATTGTTTTTGACTTCCGTGAGCATTAATTTTTAATTGTGAGGCTGTCTGCTAAACAAAGTAATTGTTTCTCAGAATCGTGTTCTAATCCCCAGATAAAATCAGCTTCCTTTTATTCGACCCACGCTTGTAAAGGACTGGAGTGAGGCCAGATTGAATTTCATATGTAACAGATAGGAGGTTTGATCTTTTCACAGGGCAGATTGTGTCAAAATTTAAAGAGAGACTGTTTTTGCAGAGGGATGGTGCGTTTCTTCTGCTGTCTCCCCATGCTGGCATACTTGCCTATTTTTTTATCTGTGGAGGTGAATATTTTCTGACTTATATTTATTACTGTGCTAATTGGTTAAGTGTTCCTTAGACTCTGTAACTTGAACAGATCCTTCTCAATGCCTGCAAGGATCAGAGGATTTGCAAGGCTCAGCTACGCTACATATCGTCCAGTTCCCTTAACAACACCTTCTGCTGCATTTCATATTGCCAAATTAATCAAACTTCAGGCACTCTCCTTATTCAGCCAATGACATGATGCCATCTTCTATCTAGTAATCCAATCAGCTGAACATCATTTTCACTGAGGCAGAAAGACTTTAAAGCTAAAAATCTCCTCCACAGGAAAGCTTGTGCATTTAGGAAAAATTAAGGGAACACATGTAAAACCCCTAAATGACCTCTTAGCAGGATTTTTCCTTACTTGGGGTACTAGTACCGTTAAAATAACAGGGATGCTCAAGTGTTAATAAAACACATGCATAGAAAAATAATTTTTGCTATTTTAATAGACAGGCATGGTCTTTGGGGTGTTCTTAAGTCTAATGGACTAAAAAGCCCCAAATAAACTGATGTGTATATTTAACTGCAAAACACTGTTTTCACCCGCGTAAACCTATTTATTCCTTTGTCTGTGTCTGATGCACAGTTCAGTGTATTATTAGTTTCTCTTTCCACCATTTACTTTTGTATACAGTAGACTTTTCCTCCTTTGTTTTCACACCAAGTGATAGTGCAACATAGACTCGACCCCCCCTCCCCCCTCCCCGGATGGTAGGTATAGCAATACAACTCGTGTCCTCAGAAATTAATGCATTTGTACAGGGAGATAAAAGGGAAAGATGACGGTAACGTATAGAGATATCTCGGGCATTAAATGCTCCTCTTTAACCTGAACTTTACAAATCCTAGCCAAACCGAGAAGCAAATCAAACTTCTACAGTCTCCCAATTGCTTCTCTTTCCTTCTTCAGGCATCTCAATCCCACTGAGAAAAATGACTTTTAAATTCACCCCGTTTTCATTACTCATTTCCTACATCTTTTCCACCCTTCCTCAAACTACCTTATTTTAATTAACTTTCTTCTAGCCCCAACCTTCCTGACTGGCATTTGTTCCTGCACTTGTTTGTCAGCTCGATGCAAACTGCTATCCAACACTATTTTGTGCAAAGAGATCAGCCTGTTAATAAAATACAACAGTAATTCCCCCAGTTATTATCAGATGAGTTCCCGATCTGCTTTCTGAATCTTAAATCCTAAAGAAGCTCCTTACCTGAGTAATCCAACCAAGAGCAGAGCTCTCTATTAGTGTTCATTGGAAAGATCTAACACTTATTTAAATCCATCTGTACCACAATAAGAGATGTTAAAACAGCTTCCCAATAATCTTCTTTATCAGGATTAGAAAGAAGAAAAAATTCTCTCTCTCGTTACCAATCCTATTCCCAGAGTAAATTAGACATCAGAGCTCTTCGACTGTTGTCAGAAAAGTGGCCAAGGTTTGAGGGGTGGAAACCTTGTCATTTTCACCTTTAAATCGTCTCCTAGCGTCACCTTCTGCTGGATGAGACCTCTGAAGTGATCTTGAGATAATTTGCAGCTTCCAGTGTATTTAAAGATGAGAATCAGTTTATGTTTAATGAGAGACCAGCCTCACTACAGCGCATTCAGTGCAGAGTAAGGCAGCTGTACATACAAAGCCGGATTGCTATACAATGCTGTAAGTACCGGTAGCCTATTTCAATACATCCCTGCTCTGTAAAGTATCACATGTCTTAAAGTGACATTACCCTCTATTACAAGCTACAATGAATTGCTATCATAGCCCATTATCTCTTAACTGGAGTTGCACTGAAATACCAGCATATCTGATGTTCTTCACAATCCAGAATATAAAAGAAAAGCTCTCTCCCCATAAGGAGGGCGTGCTTGAAAAGCAAAGGATGCTCCGAGAAGTAAGGTGGAAAAGGAGAACAAGTGAATACAAAAAGACAAAACACATAAACATAGGCATGCAAAGGATTTCCCAGGGGAAAATTAGAGAGACGCTTCAGTTACAGTGAGTTTGTGGAAGACACCCTGAGAATTAAGGGCCAGTATATGCAAGGGAACCATAAAACCACTCCAGTGATTTAGGGAAGGCATTTCATTTCATATGTTGGAAAGCAAAACAGATTTGTTTGCATCTTTTCTGAGGGGAAGAGAGAGCATATCAATGGTGGGGGGAGGAGATAAATAGTTCTGTAGACTTACATTAGCTTTCCAAAGCTCGTCTTATCACTAAATAAAATCTTTTCTTGTACCCCTAACCATTTTAACAGCGTCTCAGCATATAGTAGGAAAAGAACACACTCTGCTCCTTCAACATCCTCCCATATGCTTCAGCTTTGACGTACCAAATTATTTATTACAGTCATTTATTTATTGCCTACATCTTAAGTGGCCGTTTACAGGAATGTACTGGTTTTTCCCATCTGTGTACTATATGTGATTATTTTTTAAAGAGCAATGTTTATACACTTAACACACCACCAATGTTGCCATTCAGACAACATTAAGGCTATGGCTTAAGCCTAAGAAACAGACCATTAGAAGTTAAAGCAGAAGCCTATATGTTAAGGACATAGCGCCTAAGTGCTACTGTATAGATAACAGCATGTTGGCTTACCTTCATTGTAATACTGCATGCTTTGAAAGCCCATACTACAAAAGGTCGCTCTTTCCATTGATTGCTAACTCTATGCCCCAAACAACAGTAAATAATGGTAATAATGATACTCATTATGAACCACCTCCTTTCCTAACATCCTGGGAGCCTGATACAGAGGGTGCTGCATGTGACTTGACAGGCTTTAATGTCTCCTGTGGAACCATTCAATCTTATTGTGTGGTACGTATTAGGAGGACTGGCCTCCAGACTGACAGCACCATTACACTGATCTCTGACACAATGCCTCAGAAAAGCTCTTTATTATAGCCTCACTATAATAAAATAATCAGGGTGTGACTAGAACTGACAAAGGAGGGGATTTGAGAGTTTCCAGTTTCTATTCCATTTTGAGCTTGCCGCAAAGTAGGTCGCTATTCAGCACACCTGGCTGAAGTCTGTGCAGAGCCCAGGAGGACCAAGGACAACCTGATGTTATGCCAGGTTTGTGGTTTTCTGTTCCCAGGACATAATGGAGCCTGGCTCAGTCGCCGCAAGTGTGCCCTAAGGAGACATCTACAGTTAGGGTTGATTTAAGGTTGCCAAACATCCATGCTTGCAAAATGCTGGGCTCTACCCCTGTGCGAACTAAACCTAGGAGGTCTGCTGAAACATCAGGGGGAGAGGTTGATCCTGCCTCATTTTGCAGTGTGTTTGGAAAGTAGACCTGTTCTGCAGGCTGCAAACACAGGAAGTCTGCCACCAGGAATCCCACAATTCCCTGTTTCTGACTCCTAGCCCTTTGGCATCCCACTTCCAGTCTCTACCTCCTGTAATGAGAGACAAGCAGTCTGCAAAGTGATTCCTACAAGAGCTCCACTCCAGAAACAAAAAAGCACCATGTGGATGCAGTAGTGGCCTTAGGTGAGGGCAAACTGGGTGGCCGCATGGGGCCCCACACTTTAGGGGGCCCCAAATTTTTTTTTGCGGGGGGTGAAGTTTTTGCAAGGAAGTGGCTCTAAGGGGCCCCAAAAGACTCTCTTGCCCAGGGCCCCAACAACCCTAAGGCCACCACTGGGGGATGGCTTTGGTGTGAGCTGCTAGGTAAGGCGCGGACAGGGAAGGGCTTGGGTTGGTTAAGGACTGACCCCAAATATCAGTGTAGACACTCCCATTGCATTCAACTGACTATAACTTCAAAAGGGGCACGTGGCAACCAGAAATAGCTGGGAGAAACTGTTTAACCAGACTCTTTTCTCTAGCTTCCCAGCCCCACAACAGGGACAATAAGAGAAGTAGCATACTGGTCAGGGCTGGGATGCCTTTCATCAGCCCAGCCTTGAATCAGGCATGTGAGATTTTTGGGACTCTATCATACCCTGCTATAGTCCCAGCAAGATGAGTAAGCAACAGAAACGTAGCCTTAACTCTCAAATTAAGTCAGCCCTTAATATGATTAGAGCATGGGCTGAATATTCAAGTTCCTTTGTTTTGAAACATATTGACCAAACCCAAGACATTGGTGTAAGGGGTCACCATCATGCAACATGCAGCCATCTGACTTGGAGCAGTATATAAATGGCTTGCATAGCACCGCAAGGAGCAGCTGTTCAAACCTGGAAGTGCTGCACCCCCCCCATGTCATAAAATGGGCTTAAAAAACCCTACGCTGTGAAAAATTGGGTTCTTTAATTTGTCATCTTGTTTTGAGCCTGTTGGATGCATGGTTTGAACTTTTTATCCACAGCCATGATGGCTCACGTACTTTCAACAAAAAATGTCTCACATAACATGGCTCCTGGAGCTGGAGCTTGAAGAATCCTAAGGCACTTTTACACATGCTGTGGGCTGGGACTGGGGGTGGGTGTAGCACTTGAATTTGAGTGGCTCCAAGATCCTGTAATTAAAGTGCTCTAATTAAAGTGCCACAGAGTCTCATGTACCAGCATCCCACTCTTCAAAATGGCAGTGGGGGCACTTGAATTAAAGCTTGTTCGATGAGCTCTAGTCCAAGCACCCCTGCTGTCAGAAGTGCAGGGCTGCTGATGCACAAGACACAGAGGTTGGCTGGAGCTCGGTAATTACACCCCCTCCAGCAGACTAGATTAGTTAAGTCTGTTGCAACGCACTGTAAATACAAAGCATCAAAGCAGCCTCGGCGTTCCCTAAATACGATAGCACCAGGAGGCTCTTACTAAACAATTGTGAGAGTCAGAAACACTGCTTACATGCCCAAGTAGCAAGAAAATAAAGAGTATATGTGGAAGCAGCTCCTCTGTTTCACTTTTTAATTAGTCTCACACTTTCCTGCTACAATCCACACCTGCCCTAAGTTACGCCGTTCCACTACAGGATATGGAAGTGGTGAAAATTTCACTGGCTTTAACACCAAAGTATAATATGTCCCATCATTTGCTTCCTGACTCAATTTTCCAGGAAGGAGGCTCTGGCCAAGGGAACCCAGACCAGTGTGGAGCTGGTTTCCTAACACTCACATCTCCAGGTGGAGTTCTGTTTTGTTTTTTTGTTCTGTTTTTTTAAATTTTCTGTATCCTGAGCCAAATCAGCCAAAACAAATTCCAAATCCGAGAGTCAGTCCAGAACCATAAGTGGCCCTACTACCAGCAAACATCCTCCACCCGCACCTGGAGCTGCAAATGTTTCCAAAACCTTTGGCAGGCATCCTACTTGCAGGCCCAAGTCCAGAGGTTTGGGGTTCGGATGCCCCAGGGTTTTGCTTGCCCTCAGACATAGGGCCCCAGGGGCAAGCCAGGGAGGAGTCTGCCATTTCCATAAAGTGGGCTTAAAGCCAAGGCCTTCCCACTCCAGCAGCTAAGTGAGAGGTTTACTATACATTACCTTGGCAGGTACTATCCCCATGCAGAAGAGCAGTCTTCCCTGGTGCAACAAGGAAGACCGCCTCCATGGTCACGGTGGTTCCAGGTGGAGTTTCACTGCTCAGCACCTACAGGGTCCCTCCATTAATTCAGGGGGGGACATTGGGCAGTGGTTGGCATGCTCTGCTTGGTGTCCCCTTTTGGTTCCCTTGTTATTAATCTATGACCATCACCCTTTCTTTTTATTTGTCTCAAGCAATTAGTTGTTGTGTCCCCAGTGGCCTCCCTTTTTAAGGGAGGCTTACAGTTTCTTTGGTTGGCTTTGGCCCATGATCCCTTAATCCCTGGACTGAATTTGGCCCTGATTCCCCTAAGGCTCATTCCACAAGGGGAAGTTTTTGTTTAGGATTGCACTGGAGTTTTGGCTTGTTTGTTGGTTTGTGGTTTTTTTAAATACCAGCAGACACGAGTCCTCTTTTGGATCATAGAGTGGGTTGGCAGAATGCAGTGGTTGCATACATAGAACCATTGTGGTTTTTTGCTATTATTTTTTGGTCAAAAAAATGTAAATGCTTATTTTTTCAAAAGCTTGCAGTTTTATGTGGGTGTTTTCACTGAAGGCATGTGGCAGTGCATCTCTGTGAAACCGAATCTCCAATTTAATGAAGTTATTTCTCTGAAATTTCCTTAGGGTTTGTTTTTGGGTTTTTTTTATTGCAATTGCTCAGTGGGAGAAGCCACATAAGCAGATAATTGCATCCACTCATTTAGTTCCTGGGTGGGATCTGGAAAACTAGGCATATGTGTGGGCAGACACTGCAGGGAGTGGACAAAAGGGCAATATTTGGGAATTGCAATAGATCAGGAGCTGCAGGAATCCAGGAAGGGTGGAGCACAAAGTATCTTAAGGGAAGGGAATCTGGAAAAGCTTCCCAGAGAGACCCTAGAGGAGACAGGAGACAATCACAAGTAGGTTCTTGGGGAGCAAGGATCTGGTAGAGCAAAGGGAGAGGATGTCTCACAAGGTGCTGGAAAAGGTGCTGCTGGAGGTATGAGAGTCTTTTTAGGGATGATGATCTGTTGTGATCAACGGGTGCATAGTGGGATGTCTGAAGAAAGCAGGTGAGAGGGACACTGGAGCATCTGGGTCTGCTGGGAGAAGGGAAGGGCTGGAGAGGAGGCTTGTGTAGCAGCATCAAGGCGAAAGCCAGGA